TCTTTCTTTCTTTCTTTCTTTCTTTCTTTCTTTCTTTCTTTCTTTCTTTCTTTCGCAAGATCTGTATGGACATAGAAAACTATGTTATTGCAGAAATGTTTCTAATCATGGAAGATCAAGAGCCCTCCCTGGCACCATGCTTTCTGATAGCCTGCTGATGTATTAATTTGCTGAAATATTTCTGGTCAATGACCATAATAAAGTTTTGGGTTGATTTGATGTGCCCAAAATATCTTTAAGGCACGGAGCCAGCTAGGTGACCTTGGGCCAGTCCCTCTCTCTCAGCCCTAGGAAGAAGGCAAGGGTAAATTTCACTTCTGAAATCTTGTCAAGAAAACTGCAGGGACTAGTCTAAGGAGTCACTAGGAGTCAACACTGACCTGAAGGTGTGGACACACACACTGTAATAGATGGTTATGGAAGAACAGCCTTCCTTTGCTGAATTCAGGCTAGAGATAAGAAGGTCTGCTTACTTAATAACTGCCAAATGAAAACTGTTTTATTTGTCTAAGTTTTCAAAGGCACATTAATTTTGTCTTTTTAGATGTTGGTTCAACTCACCTGGAGAATGTGCCTGGAAAAAGAGGACCTTTTCCTTGTGAGTGGGAGAGCTAAGACACGGAGAACACAGAAGTGTGTGTGTGTGTGTGTGTGGAGGTGGATTGTTCAATCCTAAAAACACTTTGTACTTTTCATTTGAACTTAGGATAAAGTGGCCAATTAATTTACTCAGGGGATATGGGGAGTGTGCAAATTCTTCATTCTCACCTACCTGCTTTTATTCATGTTCGTGTGATCTCTGGAAGGTTGAACTACATTTATTTGTTATCCCGGATGGATGGAAATGTTTTCCTTCTGCCATTTCTGCACTGGTCAGGGTTACAGGTCAGTTGAGTAGTTAAACAACTATGTTCCTATCGTTAGTACTGTGGGAAATGTGGTCACTCCCTGGCTGGATCCAAGATGACTCTCTTTTCTTGGCCCGCCATGGACCATCTGCAGCAGTAGCAGAACTTAAGTAGAGAGCTGGTCCTTCCGTTAGGGCTATGCATGACCCCACCTCAGCTGCCACAGATACATGTAGGCCTGACATGGAGCTCAAGAAAGCATTTTAAATCTCTTTTGCACACCTGCCCACCTAACATCACTATAACTTTGATTTGTCCCCTCTTAACATCATGTAGATAAGGACAATATGGAGATCCATGCATAAAGTATTCAAGAATGATAACAGCGGTAAGTTGCAGCTACCTACATTTTGATTAAATATAAGAGGAAACTTTCTGATAGCGAGATCTGTACCCGAATGGAACAATCTGCCTATGGAGTTTGTGAGGTCTCCATGTTTAAGAAGAGGCTGGACAGCTACACCACGCTATAATTCTATGAAAATCAGGAGTTTTAAAAGCCCTCAGCAATGTCAGGCTCCTAATAAGCAAAGAGGTTTTGGTTGGAAACAGTTAAGTTTTTGGGTCTCGTCTTTGGATTC